GGAGCAAGCAGCACAGCAGCCTCAGGCGCAATTTCATCCGATGTGACATCTTCACCACTTGCTCCGAGTGTTATAAGCAATGCTGGCAACACGTACTACAGCTCCGGCTTCGTCGCTTCCGGTGGAGAGGGAGGAACTGCCGGAGCAAGCAGCTTAGCGGCCTCAGGAGTGGTTCCATCGAACGTGACGTCTTCATCACCTGCATTCACCCCCATCTCAGCTACCTCCGGAGTGACGGGTATTGGAGCAGCCAGCTCCACTGAGGCATCTGGGGTCATCCCTCCGTCAAGTGTGCCTTTCTCTCCGGTATTCTCAACGAGTGGACAGACCGGCTTCTTCGATGCAAGCTCGACCGCTGCTTCTGGTGTTGTGCCCAGCTCAGATCTTCCTCCTACACCAATTTCGTCAACAAACTTTGTTGCTAGCACCGCGTATGCCAGCTCGACAGAAGCCTCTGGCTCGAGCCCCTTCAGCAACACGAGGGATAATCGTTCCAATACGCGGCGCTCTTCAACAAGGTTCCCGACTACGTTAGGCGTGTCGTCGTTGTCGTCGGCAGATCAATATGAGTCGCAGACTGAAGGTGGCAGTTCCATCTCCACCTCAGCACCCAATGTCTTCACGGAGTCCATTCCCGTGGAAACTGGATCTGTGCCGTTCAGTGCTCCTAGCGGACCTCGATCAAGAACGAGCTCCCTTGGTGCGAATTCCACCGCCCCGCTCGTGACAAGCCCTTCCACTGGCACACCACCTGCAGTCACCAACTCCGAGTCAGTGACCAGTAGCAGCGGCGGAGTGCCCTTCACCAATTCCTTGGGCTCCCGTTCAGGCACTCGCAGTCGAGGAAGCGGTTCATCAACTGGAGTGCCCTACACCAACTCTGTGGTTTCTAGCTCGGCCACACGCTTGTCGGGAACTGCTCCATCTGTGCCCTTCGGCACCGGTTCATCCTCGTTGCCTTCGACAACTCCAAACGGAACACCACCTGCTTCCCAAACAGCGCCATCCTCGAGCGGCTCAGTGCCCTTCAGTGCACCCAGCGGTCCTCGCTCTGGCACCCGATCGCGGACCAGCTCCCGCACTGCGCCCACCGGCACCACCCCTCCAGGCACTGCTTCCTCGTCGAGCACAGCGCCGGTCACATTCCCGCCGTTCCCAACCACTAGCAGCAACACCTGTGTAACTCAGATCTTGGGTACCACCACCATTTTTACCACCGTCACTGAGTACGGCTGCTATTCGAACTGCCCTCCCTCTGGTTTCCAAGGATATGGCGATCGTCCGCAAAGTTTCGGTCCTCCTGCTCAGGCTACCGGTCGTGGAGGCTATTACGGACGGCCTGAGTAGGGTGGAAAGTGTGTGTATGGGAGTTCGAAGGGAAGGGCGTTCGTGCTTGGGATGGGGAAAGAATGAAATGAACGATTGACTCGCTTCATAGAATTAGGTAGCATCACAATTGCTTCGCGAACGATCAATCCTTGTTCACCTTGCGATGATTCATTCCAGTCCCGTGAAGTCGCCTTGCACGACGTAGACAGGAGCAAACCCCAAGTCCACACTACTTCTGCTTAAGCGCTCTGTCCCTCCTTAGCGCCGACCTCAGCGTCACAACCATTGGCCAAATAGCAACCAAATGCCATCCTGCAGAAAATCCATACGCTCAGAAGTGTCGATTCACAGAGGCATTTCTAATGGTCGTGAAATTCGTAAGTAGCTAAAGCTATGGTGTCTTTTCAGTCTCGAAGAGCCAACGAAAGAAAATCGCCCCACACCAGAGAACAACCCCTGCAGCGAGCACGCCAAGAAAAGGCGCACAACACTACCGACGCATCATCACCTCTCCTCACAACCTTCGGGAATCCATGTAACGACTTGATCGAGTGGTGATGTTACAACCGAAAAGTGAACCTGAAACCGAGCAACCAGAAGCGCCAAGAAAAAGCAACATCCGATGCCGACAAACATCGGAAAAGTTTTCAACCACTCCTCTTCGTGTTTCCCACATTCTGATACCTCCGATCCTTCTCGGCTTGAATGCTAGTGATTTCCCGCTCCAAAGTGGCAATATCTTCCGTAGCCTTCTCAATCGAAGCCTTGAAACGTTGGGGTTCCTGCATCCAGCGTGCACGGTCGGACATGGCCTTCTCGCGCCTTCGAAGCTTCTTTTCGATTTTCTCGCAAAAGGCGCACTTGTCTGCCAAGTCGATGGTGCAGTAGAGGAGTTTCATGCCGCAGGTTTCACCTGTGCGGTATTCTCTGTTGCAGTGTTGCTTGAAGTTGCCCCACTTCCAGTCGCGGCAGGAGAACTTGTAGCACTCGAAGAAGCACATTTTCAATGAAACTTGGGGCTTGATGTCAAATCGATGTTGATCTGAAGCGGGTCAGGGGCGGATGGTGCAGAATCGTCTTGGTGCTAATGCCTTACCTGAGTATGGTTGTCTGTGCTTATGCACGAGCTTGAGTGACTAGTGTTGATGGAAATCCGGACGCTGTCGATCACACATTAGCCATTGTGAATGGAGGCGGCCATCATGCCTCAGTAGAGTTGTGATGAGCCTCCACAGCCAATGGACATTGCAGAGGCATTGGGGATGCCTCATGAGTGGTGGAGGTGAAGGAGTAGGTGCAGGTAGAGTGACATACCAGAAAGTCTCTCGTGGTCTGGGTGTCTGAGGACGCGAAGGGAGAAGTGGCTGGGAGATGTTGATGAGAGGAACTGGACCTAACGCTGCCATCATGCCGCTATTTATGCTTTTCTGCCCTTTGCCAGAGCTCGCGGTGACTACTCTCTTGGTCCATCCTCGCGGCGAGTTGAGCCCGTAGCTCCTTCACATGCGTCGAGCCAGCAATGCATTGCATGCTCAGCATCGGCACAATCGAGCCAACTAGGACCTCCGGGGGGCTCGGATCGTCTCGATTTGGGTTTAGAGCGTTCGTGCGAGCAGGTGTGAGGGTATCTAGGCCTCGTCGCTTGCCCGGACGATGCAGCTTGATATTGCCTTTGGCGCGATCAACAGCAGCGTGGCATGCTCTCCGCCTCTTGTTGCCCCTTGGTGTCGTAAGTCTCTCACCACGTCCTTGTCCCGTAGGTCCACTTGAAGTGGACATGGCGTTCTCTGAGCGTAGGCGTGAACCGCGAGGTACCAGAGTGTATGCGGAAGGAGATAGTGGATTCAGGAGGCTTGTCGTCACGTGCCGATGCCTTAGACCTTTGGCAACGTCAGGTACACTTTTTTGACAGCCATTGGCCTTTGTCTCTGAACAGAAGACGTGCCTGGCACCACCATTCAAAGTGCTGAGCCGCCGATAGCGGAAGCATCACCTGAGGACGTGTGCACGAGCTGCGCGCGGCCTCAGGCTCGCCATGCTGTGTCGGTCGGTGGTTCCGCCAGCAGCGGCATGATGGAGCATGACATCGACCGAAGGCTGCAGCACCATGTTTAGCTCGACGCACAACAATGCATCGGGTGCGCGAGACTCGAGACGTTGACGCAGGTAGGGGACCACTGGACTGGTGCCGCAGGAAAGGTTGAGCCATACGAGGCTAGCGATGTACACAGAATGCACGGACAGTGACGTTCGGTGGCCAGGTGATACTGGTCGAAGAACCTTGCCGAAGTGGAGGGTCGACATGAGCTAACAGTCATCTTATCTCGCGGCGCTGCAGGATCGAGTCAGCATACTGGCGAGCATGGTGGTGGTGGGTGGCCGTCGGTCTGCCCATTGTCCTCTGGAGGCCGCCGCACAGCACGGGCTCGGGAGGATACCGCTCGACGGCGGCAGAGGATGGGCGGACCAGAGCAGAAGCAGCACGGGCGAGTGGCGAGGAGAGAGCGATGGTTCGCATATGCGGCACACTTGTCAAGAACGGCTTCGTCTGGCTTGAGTCTGTCCCGCAGGCGTGGTCATCAGTGCAGGGCAAAGGTTCGGAGGTACTGCAACGCGCAGGCTAGATCTTCCCTGGCCGTCTCCGCTCTGCAACGTGGCAGCTCTCTGGTGGCCGAGCAGTCGAAAGGCTATTCGAAGGCTCGAGGAGTCGGTTGTTAGTACATATCCATGCAGCGGCTGAGGGGGATTCGAAACGCTCACCATTGGCCTGGCGCCGCCCTCCGCGCACGATGCTCTTGCCGGCTCGCCGCATGCTGGAGCTGGAGGATGCGTGCCGAGAAGGCAGTCGCGGGAGGCAAGGAGTGCTGCTGCGCGCGCAGAAGGGCGGAGGTGAATGTCTCGCCGGCAGAAGCACGTAGCTTGCGGTACCGCGTCCTCAGCATCGAATCACGATGACCGGCCGGGCTGGCGGGCAGGCCTGGCAGCTGTGCTGCTGCTGCTGCTGCGAAGCCACAGCGTGACTTTCAGACAGCTAGCGCTGGCCTGGTGCGGCAGGCGAAGGCGAGC